CGGTAGCAAACCTCCCCCGTGTGGCCAAGAGTTTGCGCCTCAGCAACTCTAGAGCTCCGACCGCGGCTGAGCGGGTGTCCCGGCAAGACACTGTGGATCGAGGGACAAGCGTTTGAACTGCCAGCGGGTCGAGGTGGCTGTGAGGGGCTTTATGCACTTTAGGGGGTGCCTCTCTCGACCAGCTGCTACGCAGACCAACCCAGGGACGTCAGCGCTGGGCCGACCCTTTCCCGACGCCATGCGCCAGTCACGATCTGAGCTCTGAAGTCTATAATATTTTTGGTCCGAGCCGGCGGATTTTTAGTAGTTCCACCCCACATGAAGATGCAGCGTATAATATGGGTAAAGGTATGTTTTTTATCAACAATTTTAACTTTTCTGGTTGAAGTCATACCGGGACCAATAAAGTCATGTCAGAAGGACGTCGCACCTTCTAACGATGTGGCCGATTTAAATGTTCCCAGACATGCGTGGGTCGATGGTCATACCCAGCAGTCGCATAGACGAGGGTCTGGTCACCGATTCCAGCTATACTTTGGCGGACGTCTAGCTTTACTGGCAGTTTAATGGGTCCGATTTCAGCGAAATCTGTTTTGTCTGGGCTTATCTTTAGTGAAATTGATCTAAACCAGCGTTGTAATGTGTCCAAAGAGTTTTCAACACAACGTTTTAGTGACTCTAGATTTGCGGGTCGGGCGGTGAGTGATCGAGAGCTGGGTGTCGGCAGGGTATACTGTCGCTCGACAACGCAGTGACAGTGAGGACCATTCGTACACAGGCTGAAGAGGATCGGCCCGGTGACAGACCCCTGGGGCACCTCGAAACGGACCGGTGGAGTCGCCATGCCGCCTCTCACCAGCTGCCTCCGGCCGTCCAGATAGCTACGGAGCCATGTTGGGTAGAGCCTGTATCAGCTCAGTTTGTTCAGGAAGACGCCATGGTCAATGTTGTCGGAGGGCTTTGCTGAGGTTGGCGGCGGTAACTGAGGAAATCCCACCGCGTTCTGAGTTTTGGCTGACCCATTCGACGGCGCCGAGCACGGCGTCCTCGGTGCAGTGACAAGACCTGTAAGCATATTGAACATGAAATGAAATGGGGTCACACAGATACCACGTGAGTTGATCACAGGCAATTGCCTTAGCAGCTTTAGGCAAGTGGAACACAAGGGAGATCAGGCGATAATAAGAGGGCCCATACGCGTTGCCTTTTGTTTTGTAGACAGGGACCTCCTCGGCAGTTTTCTACATTTCGGGAAAAGTGTCTTTCGACGCAGACGCGTTGAAATGCGCAGCAGGTGGGGCCTATCACTGCGAAACAGAGTTAGCCACCCAGCGGTACTTGTCTGGTAGCAAACAATTTGTCACATGCCATGGACGCTGGTAGAAATATTATACAACGTTTAGCTTAGATCGCAGAATGTTTCGACTGAATTTCTTATCTAAAATGTGACGTTAAGGATTGCCTTTTATCCGTAAGTTTTTGAGAGCTCAGGATGGAATGAATGCCCAAATTCTAATGATACCTGAGTTGTTTAGACCGTTACAATACAGACGAACAAGCCGTGGATGTCTGCTCGCGCTGTCTGGAAGTACCGTCACGGTGGGCGCCATCCATCAAACGCGGCAAGGCCTTGCACCGCCTACCACACAGTTTTTGCATACAGCCCGGTGGCTGACTACTCGCTCCGTGTGGAGCGGCCTCGGCTCTCCGTTCAAAGAAACGAGAGATACACTAGATCCTCATTCGGTTGTATAGTAGATCTGATTAACTGATAAATCCTTACACTGCACGCACGTCGCACAACCATTTTTCGGAGAGCGCAGAAGTACCAAGAACAGTGTGCACCGAGCTCAGTATTTGTGTTGCACGAGATCAGTATCACACGATCAGCATGCCCCGAGCACTCATGCCGTCCCCCAAAAGGCCGTAACTCTTTTCAGCCCAACACCCGAGGATCTAGTCTAGGGGGAACCACGGTGCAAAGTGCCCAGGACGCCGCCTAGCGGCCGTAACACTGGGACACGGGCCGGGCCGCCCCCTGACGGCCTCACCGGTCACGGTTGTTACTGCCACCTGGCGGCGGTCCACTGAACTGCGCTCCAAGCTGGACAGAGCCCCTCATGGTAGCGTGGTCCCAAACACCCTTACGCAGTGAGAGTGAGGACGCTTCCCCGTCCTTTGACCTTGATTATAACATTGCACGTTGACCTTGATTCACGCGTTTGTGAATTTCGAGGCTGGAAAAAAACGCCTAACCTTCAGATGACGCCCAACGTACGAGCGTGCAGCGGCTGGATGGCGCTATCCGTCCATCCACCTCGGAATTCTGCATGTTTGTTTTTCTTTTTTACCGGCGCATTTGACCATGAACGGTAGGGCTGGGTTTGATAGGCAAGGCTGAAATGCGCCGAGTGTTCTAATGACATCCGATTTGTCTAGATCACTTCGATACAGCGGCAATGTGATGCTATCTCGTCCATTGACTTTTAATTTGATCTTAATTGACTGGCTCTCATACGACCCCCGGTTTAAGTACAACGGTTCCATACAGCGGCTTAAGGGCGCTGTCCCGTCCTTTGACATTGAAATTTTGCGCTTGCGGCTCTCTAACAGGAATCATTGACTTTTAAGTTTGCTGTTTGAAAAGGAGCAAGTGTTTGCACTTCAGATCGCACCTGGTTTGTACGGATGAGTCATATACAACGATAACGCAGGGCTGCGCATTCTTTACTCTTTACTGTGACCTTGCATTGAATGACTTTGATTTTTGCGCTTATGGTCCGCAAACTGGAATGGCTATGCTGCGCCCAGATGACGCCCCATTTACGAACCCCAGTTTTCAACAGCAACGACACGCTATCCTGACATTTGTCCTTAATGTGACCTTGAAAGTAGACCATAGCAGATCTTCTTTGTGTCTTTGGCTGACACGTATGCCTGGTGCTCACATGGTGCATTTGTGCAGATAGCTTTCGTATGACATTGCACTGATGAGCTTTGTGCCGTCTGACATCTGGTGATCAAACCATTTATTATGGGACAAAACAGGTCAGGTCATATTTTGTAGCCTGCGGGTTTCGTTTTACCTACGAATTGGAGCTCACCGCTGAATCCAAACACGAATACACGGCTAAGTTGACGGACGTGGTAAGATACAGGGTCCCTCATCTGGGGCAGTGTCGGCTAAGCAAGGGATGCAGGTACTTATGGCAAGTGACGTCTAAAAAGTCGACTGTCAAAACGTCATAGAAATATCGCAGAGCTTCAGAGTGTGGTGTTGAACCGTGTTCAAAGTTTGAGTGATGAATGCTAGATTTTATCAAATCTGAAGGGAAAGGAGGAGGCTGTCCCTTCCGCGGCAGGTGTCACGACGTTGAAGTGAACTGAACCGGTAAAAAAAACCTTAGCTGATGCAGAAAGAGACTAGCCAGCACTGACGGTAAGGATCCTTTCTGGGAGCGAGTGTAGCATGAGCTGACGCAGAGACACACGCGTCGTGGGATAGACGGCGTCCATTCTTAGGACTGTGTCAGCCTCGTTGGCTGGGACGAAGCTGCGCGTTAGTTCGGCCATACGTCACCATTGACTGGATCAGAGCAGCCTGCCATCTGGGACAGATAATGCCCTCAGCGAGGACAAGGAACAAGCGTGCTGGGACCGGCAGTGTCCCCAGCTGGGACAGCGAGCAGTCTTCAGCTGAGGCTGAGCTGGCGTATGAGCACGTCAGCTGGAACAGAGAGACTTTCCGGTGGAAAAGAGAGGTGCATTAGCTGGGGCAGCGATCATCCTCAGCTAGGAAAGGTGCAGAGAGGCTCCTCAGAAAGGGAAGAGAAGCTCCTCAGCTGGTGTGGGGCAGAGGGTCGCCAGGTGGGAGGGAGCATTCGCAGGTGGAGCAGGCATTATCGTCAGCTGGAGCAGAGAGGCTCCTCAGCTAGAGCGGAAAGGTTCAAGGTCGACAAAAGTCCTCCCCAGTGCGAGGGCACTGGCATTGTTGATATATCTTTCTAGGTAGCTCTCATGGGGTCAACGCTCAATCGTCAAGAACGTGGGGTCTCAGTCCGCTTTGGAGCCCCCTCCGCCCAGTTTCCGCGGCCTTTTCTCAGCTGGAATAGAGATGTCCATCAGCTGGAATAGAGCAGGTCGTCAATTGGAACGGAGAGACCTCTGCGCTTGGGCAGAGGAGAGTCAATAGGCTAGGACGGAGGAGGATCAATAAGCTGGGGCAGAGGAGGGTCCATAAGTTGGGGCCGAGGAGGATCCGATGGGAGCGAGGGAGGGAACATTCTCAAATGGAACACACTAGGCTCGATGAAAGGAGGAGGAACCGTCAGCATTAGTTGGGTTAGGGGATATTTTCAGCTGGAGCTGGGGGTCAGGAAAAAATCCTTCTTAACTAGGATGACTCTGAGCTGAGGCAAACATCCCAGACGGCCGGGACAGAGGGGCTCCTCGGCATGGACAGAGGAGCCTCAGAATAAGAGAAGGGCCCTTCCCTTCAGCTGAGATGGAGACTCTTCAGCCAGGACAGGGTATGCTATGCTCATACGTACCCATGCTCATATGGAACGGAGGGACACGTCAGCTGACAGTACCCTCAGCTGGCGCAGGAAAGCTCCTCAGCTGGGACAAAGGCCGGTTAGCTGGGACACAGATGGACCATGAGTGATGGTGGGCGGCTGAAGCTTCCGTAGCGAGTGCCCTCCGGCCGGGGCGGACGCCGGGGCGGGCTCGGAAGGCGCCGGTGCCACTCAGCTGCGCTCCTGACGTCACAGCGGCGCCGAACAGGTGTGCGTGGAGCGTGCGCCACCTCCGTCCTGGAAAAGCCAGAGGCGTGCTCAGCCAGGGGGCGCCTTCGGCCTCCTAGCTGGCCCTCAGTCGTTCCTCAAGCCGGCAGCGTGACGCCGCACTGGCTCGACCGCCTCCCCTGGCGGCACGCCTGGCGCCGCCTCTGGCCGCGGGGCGCCGCTCACCGCAGTCGGTGGGCCAGTGCCGCGGCGGCCGAGTGCGAGGAGGGGCCGGCGCGGCGGACCCGCGCCGGCACCGCGCGCACCACGCCGCCCTCCTCCGCGACCCACACGACGAACGGCTGTACCCCTGCGGGCTGTCAGGTGAGGTCAACGGCACCGATCCCGCCGCACGCACCGAGTTCGTTTGATCGCGTGCGCACTGGGGTGTAACATTGGTTGATACTGTGGTCAATTTCTGATGTGGTGGCGTTTCAGACGGGTAAAGCACAAAAATAGTCCACTCTGCCAGAAAAGTGACTGGGGTTCGGAACGAACCTACCCTAGTGGTGTCACGCTTGTGGTCACGTAGCTAAATTTGGTCGCGTGGTTAGGGAACGTATCATTTAAAAGACATCGTGCTTTCTTAAACATATTAAAGAAGCGTGGCTTGTTCTCTACGGCAACGCGTTAGCAACGCGCCCGTTTTCCGGATCTGCCTGGATGGAGGATGAGGTCTGGAGGAGGATTCGGCTTCGCGAAGCCGTTGGAACATGCGTATTCATTCCAATGGAGGAATATAACCGATTTGACAAATTTAGTTAATGTGGTATGACAGGCGGCACCACTCCCATTGTCGTGCTGTGTATCCCCCCCCCCCCCCCCCTGCATCTATCAGTTATTACACAAAAATACTCAGCCGTCTTGGTGGATCACATCCATAGGTAATTTCAGTCTTCCCAAGTTAGGGAAGGGCGATAGCTGTTCATTGTTGTTTCTTTCCAGTTCACGCCCACAACGCCAAAGCTAAATCTTCAGAAAGTTGATGTCTTAACCTCCTGGCCCCTTAGTTATCTTGCCCCTGGTCGCACTCGCTCACTCACGCGCATTAGAACCTCACGAGTCTCCCTGTCGTGACGTAGTATGTGCGCTGCAGCCGGCGTGCGTGCTGATCGCCAGGGAAGGTAAACTCGGTGGGCAGGTCACAGGTCACCGTCCGGGGCAGGTGACCTCGGCGGGCAGGTTACAGGCCACCAGTCCGGGGCAGGTGAGCTCGGTAGACGGATCACAGGTCACCTCCGGGGCAGGCGAGCTCGATGGACGGGTCACAGGTCACTATCCTCCGATGACCCGGTCCGCTGTCCCGGTCCTGTCTTGCGGAAGGCGGCTGCCGGGCCCTGCTCGCCCAGTTCGCTCTTGAGTCGCAGCTGCTCTCCCGCTCCGACCCAAGGGCACGTGCCGACTTGGCCGGGTCGCGACCTGTTCACAAAGTGACAGGTCAGGCAGCGAGCGGCTGCTGGGCCGTTGTCAAAAGGCTTGGAGCAGAGTAACCGCGACTGGCGCCGCCGATCCACAGCCAGCTGTCAACAGCCAGCGCATTTTGGCACTGGATTCGTTAATCTGCCCCGAAGTTGTCCATATTGGTGAGTTTCGGACCTGGCGTGGCAGTGAACTGGACCCCAGTGCTGCCGCTGTGTGACCTAGAGGCGGCGTCGGCCATCGTGATTCTGCATGCGCCTTCAGCGGGGGTCATTGGATACGAGGCGAATGGCTATTGTTGTTTTTATAGACTAACACAACCGCCGCCGTCATTAGCACATCCATTCAGATGGAATTAGGGCGGCGGACTAGGCGCACGTGCATGACCCACGTACTGAAGTGCCCACCGCTGAATAAGGCCCTGTTTGCCAGGCCACCAGAATGCATAGGCTCCTCGGGAGCCTCACCAATCAGTGTCCAGACCATGGGAGGCATGACATGTTACTTCTGGCATGCGTCTTCACGCCACGCCAATTCACACCAAGTCTTTTCGCGCCATGTCACTTCACGTCGTGACGCTCTACGTCATGTGGCTGCATGTCGGCCGGCCGGGCCCTGCGCAGGTCGCTCCACCCCAGGTCAGGGCCCGGTCCTCGGCCGTGTCACGCCCTGCTCAGGTCGCACCGCCCCAGGTCAGGGTCCGGTCCTTGGCCGTGTCACCCCCTGCCCAGGTCGCACCGCCCCAGGTCAGGGCCCGGTCCCCGGCCGTGTCACCCCCTGCCCAGGTCGGACCGCCCCAGGTCAGGGCCCGGTCCCCGGCCGTGTCACGCCCTGCTCAGGTCGCACCGCCCCAGGTCAGGGTCCGGTCCTCGGCCGTGTCACCCCCTGCCCAGGTCGCACCGCCCCAGGTCAAGGTCCGGTCCTCGGCCGTGTCACCCCCTGCCCAGGTCGGACCGCCCCAGGTCAGGGTCCGGTCCCCGGCCGCGTCGCCGCCCGGGCGGGGCCAGGTATTGGTCTGCTCGCCTCGGCGCCGGCAGCTCTCCGACCGGCCTGCTGCCGTCGTCCCCGGGTCACGTCTCATGGCTCCGGCCAGAGAAAGCCGGCCCACAGCGCGCCCAGGAATGCGTCGCGTCCGCCAGTTGTGAGGGGCCGCTGCAGACTCGTCCCGCGCGGGTCCGACCGTGTCGGAAGCCAGGTCGTGTCACGTGACCCGGCTACTGTGGGTGAAAGATGTGAGAAGCAGGCGCCCAAGCCGCCTCACACTTTTGCCTTTTTTGAAATGAGGAAATCATTTCACTGTGCTATGAATCCCAGTTAGAGGTCAAGTGACACATGAAGGAACTCGATTTTTATCTGAATGGGTTCGTCTGCGACTTTTTCGAGAAGACCATGCGAGCTCATAAAGCGGCGCGTTTGTGTATTTCATCTCCGCAAAACAATATCTGCCCTTCACCACCATAACAGTGAGACCAATGCTCTTGGGGCTAAGTTTCTTGTCCAAAAACAGCCAGGCGATCCTTGAACTACCGAGAGTCGTTCTTTTGTCTTTGTGACGCAGTTCTCTGGATGTCCCCCACGCCCTCCATGGCAGTTCCAGTTTTGGCTGGGCGGGCGCTGCAGTCGGCGCCGCGGCGTCTCCCCCCCCCCCCCCCCCCTCCCGCCTCCAGTCAGGTGACGTCATCGGCCGGGAATGGAGCGGTCCTCGGCCATGTAAGGATGCAGTGGGAGGCGCCGCCGAGAGGCCGTCTGACGCTGCTGAGGCGGCCTTTGCAGCCGTTGGGCAGGCCCGTAATGGTGCCGAGACGGCCCCGGCGGCTGCTAGGGGGCTGGTGGTGGTGCTGAGATGGCCCCGGCGAATGCAGGGGGCTGGTGGTGGTGCCGAGGTGGCCCCAGCGAATCCTGTGGGCTGGTGATGGTGCTGAGGTGGCCCCGCAGACTGCTAGGGGGGATGGTGGTGGTGCTGAGGTGGCCCCGGCGAATCCTGGGGGGCTGGTGGTGATGCTGAAGTGACCCGGATCTACTGGGGGCTGGCGGTGGTGCTGAGGTGGCCCTGGGCTGCCGGCACTCACTGCTGCCGCTGGGGCTGCTGGCTGGCTGGAGCTGTCTGCATACAGATACGGGCCGCCCATCGCCGGATGGTGTCTTGGTGACCCGAATCCGAGATATTGGTGTGAGACAGCGGAGATCTGAGGCGCTGGCGCTGGCCAGCGGTCCGGGTGCTGGCCACGTACTGCTGCCCACCTCCGGAGCTTGGTACCGGTCTCGAGGGTCGAGGAACGGATCCGAACAGTGGACCGGCTAAGCACCAAGTCCGGAACTGGGAGCATAGGCCGGGGAACGGGGCCGGAACGGTGAGCACGGGCCGGGGAACGGGGCCGTAACGGTGAGCACGGACCGGGGAACGGAGCTCGTGACGGAGAGCACAGCCTGAAGAACGAGTCCAAGCTGGGATACCGGCCAAAAAGTGAGTTCATACCGTCCGGCCAGTTGGAAGAGTGCTTGGGACGGGCAGTTTAGGTTGAGGAACGGAGCACGGAGCGGTCAGTGCAGAGCGAGGAATGTGACTCAGACCGGAGCACCACCATAGGGTCATTTCCCGTCGCTCGGGCGTCGACCCATCCGCTCCCTCCCGGCTGCATTTGACGCAGAGCAAACAGAGGCGCGGGCCTCTAGAGACTACTCTTCCTTTTTCTCTACCCGCCTCTTCTCTCCCCCTCCCCTCTCTCTCTCTCTCTCTCTCTCCTCTTCTCTCTCTCCTCTCTCTCTACTCTCTCTCTCTCTCCTCTCTCTTCTCTCTTCTCTCTCTCTCTCTCTCTCTCTCTCTCTCTCTCTCTCTCTCTCTCTCTCTCTCTCCTTCTCTCTCTCTCTCTCTCTCTCTCTCTCTCTCTCTCTCTCTCTCTCTCTCTCTCTCTCTCTCTCTCTCTCTCTCTCTCTCTCTCTCTCTCTCTCTCTCTCTCTCTCTCTCTCTCTCTCTCTCTCTCTCTCTCTCTCTCTCTCTCTCTCTCTCTCTCTCTCTCTCTCTCTCTCTCTCTCTCTCTCTCTCTCTCTCTCTCTCTCTCTCTCTCTCTCTCTCTCTCCTTCTCTTTGTCGCTCTCTCTCGCTCTCTCGCCCTCTCTCGGCGACTACCAAACGTCAATATTGAAACGGCTCGGACGTGGAGGACCTAAGCGTCCAAGGTGAGACCAGCGCCGGGGGAAGACGGGAGGACGGAACCTGGCCCGGCGCAGGACCGAATGCGGCCCCGTCCGACGGAGGACGGAACAGGTGCGACCATGCTCGGCAGTGGACAGGACAGGTGCGGCCAGTCGCGACAGTGAGCGGAGGATGTGGGACCAGTCCCGGCAATACACTGCAGGGACGGAACAAGCCCGATCTGTTGGTCACGTGGAAATGCGTGGTGCGTGCGTGAGCGATGGAGGCAGAGGGAGAGGAGGACGGACAGAGCATGCGGGCGATACATCTGTTATGAAATGTTTGTGCCAAGTAGTCGAGGCTCCCGGAAGACAAAGTCACGGCGTCGCCCCGGGGGTGGTTGACTCAACTACGCTCTTCATTGAACGGATCAGTATGCCCTTCAACGGAATGGAAACGGCCTGTAGGATAGATATTTGGCGGACTGGCTCGAAGGCCCAACAACCGCCGTTGTCAGGTGGCATATCCGGGATTTGTAGAAAGGATCACGTAAGGAATTGGCGGGGATATGTTGCATAGCTCGCCACGCTGGAGGAGGCGAAACTTTTTTTAATTAATAGGCAGAAAAGTTGGGCTTCGGGCGAGAAATGCTGAGATTTGGGCGAGAAAAGTTGGAATTGTGCCCGACCCTTCTACGCAATGTCCATAGACCCAACGCCCAAGTTCAGAAACTGCTAGACGGGGAAATGGTGCTCGACCGGGAGCCGCCGGCG